CTGCTCCTTGGGAGCCTGCTTCTCCCTCTGCCTCTCTGTCTCTCATGAATAAATAAATAAATAAATAAATAAATAAATAAATGGTTAGTGTCCACTACTCTATTGAATATATTAAAAACCACTAATGGTACACTTTAAAAAGGTGAATTTTATGTTATGAAAATTTTATCTTAATAAGGATGTTGTAAAACAAAACAAAAAAGTTTCAAGGTGTCAATGATGGAGGCAAGGAATCGTGCTGAGAGCAAATAAACAGTTCTGCTCCAAATTACTACAGAAGGTAAAGAAAGAGGATTGTCTTAAGTCTTAGTCACAACTTTCCTAGAACATCAAAAAAAAACTTCTCCAGATACCACAATTACTGACAAGCTCACAAAACAAAAAATGTTCAGTAACCTTATTTTTTAGAATTATTGTTTCACTATGCTATACTTGTATTAAAAATAGAAGTTAGAGTATGATGATCAGAGCAACCTACCACTTGAGGAAAAAATAAAAATAATTTCAATACACAATCTTTTTTAAGGCTGATTCAAAGAACTAAAGAGACTCACACTACCCTGGGTATGTTAATTTTCTAACTTTGCTCAATGAAATTAAATGAAGAAAAAATTTCAAGAGAAATATTCTACAACTATAACAGTTATGCTCCCTAATTTAGGAGCTCGTACACTCTATCTTTCAAAATTATAGTCAGTTTGCTAACGCAAACCAGAAACACTACAGAATTCAGATGTTGCACCATTCTAAGAAGTTACTACACTATTACCTAAAAGATGAAAAGTTCAGGAAAAGATCCAAAGTTACTGGCTTTGTGTATGTGGCATGGTTTATCTGAGGCCTGATTTGGAATAATGTGGTCACCTATTTGTCGAAGTGTGGGATACTCATTTTACTTATTACTACTTAAAAGGATTAGACAGGAAACCTTTTTTTGGTAATGATCAACAGGTGCCATCCACTGAATACTCAATGTATTTAGGCATGATTTTAAAACCTTCACATGCTCCATGTCACTTCATTTAGTCCTCACAGCAATCTGAGGGGTAGGAATTATCACCGGTTTTACAAAAAGGAAACAGAAGCATCAACATCTGGGTCTGACCAGGCAGCCTACTAAAAAATGTCACTTCCTCTCCCAAGGAAAAAATAAGAGCAAACCCAATTTTTTTAAATTCATTATAGGACTAAAGAAAGATTATAAAAACACTATTAGCATATTTCTCTGACCGGCAAATCGACACAAAAATGTAGCCATCACACACAGGTTAGTCTCCGGGCAATAAAGCTATGGAATTAATACTCTGCCACTACTATATAATCCAATCATTAACTGACAACATCGAAGAAGGTAGACAGATGGTCTGTTTTCCTTTTGTTACTTTTAATTATTACCAACTCTTACCTAACACAGACAGAAAACCAGAAATGTCAAAAGAAAAAAAGAACAATAATTTATTCCAAGTGTAGAATTTGCATTTAAAATATGCACATATGCTTTTCAGAAGAGAAGGGCTAAATGGCAAAAATGAGCTGTGTGGTACTATTCAAGATATTGAAAATTATGTTTAAAATGATACTTCACAGAGGCACAGAAAAATAAAACCAACAGAAATACTTACTTTCCCCTCCATGAATGTTTTGTTGTGTAGAAACATGCCAAATCCTTGTTCTCCCTAATTATGTTCATTTTGTGCTGAAACCTAAAAGATAAAAATATGGCTGAATTTAGTACAGTTATCCTTCGAGTTTTTCCTGAATCTCCCATACCATACTTTCAGAGCTTGCCATGTAGTACCGATTTTAAGGCACAGATTCTTCTACAAGACCACAGGTTTTAAGGAACAGGCAGTGGTCTGTTCACGTCTCTCTCACATACTTTAGCGCACCATATTGTGATTGCTCCCCTCCACTACACTGGGTTTCTTGAGGACAAGAATTGCCCTCAACATCCCAAGAGTAAAGAATCTAATAAAAAATGTTCATGTAAATGAATCTTTAAATCTCACATTACCAAACAATGCCCTTGCACAATATGGGCACCTAAAAATGTTTGCCAAGTATCAAATCAATTCCAAAAGGTTTTTGAATTACTAAGAGCCAGCTGTTCTGTTGTCACTGTCACTTTAAGGAGACCCACCGTAAATACAATTTAACTTAAAAATAACAATATTTTCATTACAAAAGTAATGCATGTCCACAGTAAAAAATCTAAAATGCTCATAATGCAAATCCTAGCATCTAAAGATAATCACTCTAGCCTCCCTTCTTCTATTTAGAATAGGCTTTTTAAATTTTTATTTTATTTTATTTTATTTATTTATTTGAGAGAGAGCACAAGCAGGGGGAGAGGCAGAGGGAGAAGCAGACTCCCTGCTGAGCAGGGAGCCCGACATGGGGCTCAATCCCAGGACCCTGGGATCATGACCTGAGCTGAAGGCAGATGCTTAACCAACTGAGCCACCCAGGTGCCCCTAGAATAGGCTTTTTTAAAAAAAATTGAGAGGGGCGCCTGGGTGGCTCAGTCATTAGGCGTCTGCCTTCGGCTCAGGTCATGATCCCAGGGTGCTGGGATCGAGCCCCGCATCGGACTCCCTGCTCAGCAGGAAGCCTGCTTCTCCCTCTCCCACTCCCCCTGCTTGTGTTCCCTCTCTTGCTGTGTCTCTCTCTGTCAAATACATAAATAATTTCTTTCAGGGCTGGTTAAAAAATAAATAAATAAATAAATAAAAATAAAACAAAATTGAGATTGTCAATTGTACTGCTTAAGCCCATTTTCACACAATTTTAACCTTCTTCTACAGAACCTTCTATGGAATTAAATATTCTTTAAAAAAGTAATTTTTTAAGGCTATATGGTATTCCATTGGATGAATATACTAGAACAATGCTACTTACAGTGTAATCACAAGCATCAAGCTAAGTACAGAAATTGACAGTAAGTGTTTAGAAACCTAAAAAGTTTGGTGAGTGAACTCTTCTGGCTGAAGAGTACATAGACCAAACAGTTCAGGACTCTAAATTTGTGTGATGGATCACATGGTGATAGCTTCCTACCAGCTTCATGCAGAGGGACCATGTTGTCATATTTTAAAATTAGTCTACTGACTGTAACCCAGAAATGTATGAAATCCAGAACCCATTTAACTTCATGAAAAAAATTTAAATTTAGCTAACTGTACAGGATAAATTATTGGAACTATTTACTAAGGAAAAGACTGATAAATTTTGAAAATACTACATAATTTGCTTCATACTGCATAAAAGTTAAAATGAATATGGTCATGTATTTCTTCTTGTGTGACTTGACCATCTCTCCCTGCCCTTAATTAGAAATGTACTTTTAAAAATACTGGATACATACCAAGTGTTAATGCACACTAAATAGCTAGAATTATATGGTTCCAAACATATTATGGTTCACACTGGTCTAATTTTTTTTTTATTCAGCATTCTTTTAATAACTTGAATAAAACTAATTTCATTCAAAAAAAAACACTTTGTAACAGCTTTTTAAGATACAATTCACACACCATAGAATTCACCCTTTTTAGGTGTACAATTCAGGGGTTTTTAGTATATTCAGAGTTCTACAACCAATGTTGTTTTTAGAACATTTTTATGCCCCCAAAAAGAAACCCTGTTAGCAGTCACTCCTCATTCCCACTCACTCCCAGCACCTGGCAACCACTTACCTACTTTCTGTCACTATGGATTTGCCTATTTTAGACATCTCATATAAATGAGTCATACAAAATGTGGTCTCTGTGACTGCCTTCTTTCACTTAGCATTACATTATCAAAGTTCATCCACACTCTGGCATGGATTAGTTTCTTTCTATTGTATAGATATACCACATTCTGTTTATTTATCAGTTAATGGACATTTGTGTTGTTTCTATTTTCTTGCTATTATGAATCATGCTGCTATATACATTTGTATGAACATGTTTTTATTTCTGAGTATATATACCTGCATAGCAAAAACATTTTAAAAGACACTGCTATTTTGAAATTGCTTTCTTCATTTTTACTACTTATTTTTGTATTAGCAGAGTGGCAAAGGCCTCTATACTCTACGTAGAACACTCTTCCCCTAGATACCTACATGGCTCACATGTCCTTCAAATCTGTATTCAAATGTCACTTTTATAATGAGGCCTACCCTAACTATCCTGTTATAAATTGTAATCACTCTCCTCATTCTACACCTTCAATTCCCTCTGACTCCTGCTCATTTTTCCTCTATGGCACCTTTCACTTTCTAACAATTTATTATCCATCTAATCCTGCTACCATATCCAGAGAGAAGCATTTCTGCCTATTAAGCTCATTAACGTGTGTGTGTGTGTGTGTGTATACCCAGAGCCTACAAGAGTTCCTGACACAAAACAGGTGCTCAGTAAGTATTTGAGTGAATGAATGAAATGCAGCAACCCCACGGGAAATTCTGATGTCCACTTTAAACTTCATGTTCTAACAAGTACTCATAAATAAGGTTTTGTCAAATCATCTGGAAAAGCATCAACTCGCTCTGAGGAATAAGAGAACCACAAGTAACAGCAAGGTTAGGGAAATCTTAGAAAGGAAATTACAGTCAACTGACATCTTCCTACTAGTATGTTATGGAGACAGCTAAATATAGTCCTGACAGTTGGTGCATTTTGTTTTTTTCCTGGATTGTGTATCTGAGATGAAATAGGCAGCCAACTAAGACTTATTAAAACCAGCAAACATTCTTCCTGCCTTCTAAATCATTTGCAGTAAATGTTGTTGCTGAAAAGAAACTTAGGTAGGATCTCTGAAAATATGCCAAAATAGTGAAAAATACAGGTCTACAGATGTTATCTTTCCCTTATATACTATGACTGAAGATTGGAATAAGGGAATAAGAAAGGAGGACAGAAAAGGTGATGGCCAATACTAAAGAGTGGAGTTTGGACTGCTAGTCCATAACTTAAGATATCTGAATACAGACTCTGTACCAAGGCCTATCTTAGAAAACTGACAAAAAATGTACTTGAGTGAAGAGTGACTGATATCATTAAGGGACTTTAAATTTAAAATGGAAGTGAGGGAAAAATAACAGAGACTTTAAAATGATAGCCCCAAAGAACTTAGAGCATGACCCAGGGGGAATCCTAAAGATGACTTCATAGGTATCACTGATTTAGGGGTATACGTAACCCAAACAGATCTTTTAGGAGGGGAATTTTAAAAAGTTTACATCAAGAAGGCTTTTCTACAACTTTCCGAAGACCTAGGAACTTGGTGGTGATGAAAGCACCAGACTCCAGAGAGTTCTTAGGTTAGGATAGATAAAAGGAGAAAGGGAGAGAAGATCTAACACACACATTAATATAAAATTAAACTACTAGAAGATATATAAATGGCCAACAGGTATATGAAAAGATGTTCAATGTCACTATCAGAGAAATGCAACTCAAAAGAACAAGAGGGGGTGCCTGGCTGGCTCAGTCGATGGAGCATGCAAATCTTGATCTCGGGATTTTGAGTTTAAGCCCCGCGTGTGGAGATTGCCTAAAAATAATAAATAAGTAAAATCTGGGGCGCCTGGGTGGCTCAGTCGTTAAGCGTCTGCCTTCGGCTCAGCTCATGATCCCAGGGTCCTGGGATCGAGCCCCACATCGGGCTCTCTGCTCAGTGAGAAGCCTGCTTTTCCCTCACCCTCTGCCTGCCGCTCTGCCTACTTGTGCTCTCTCTCTGTCAAATAAATAGATAAAATCTTTAAAAAAAAAAAAATTAAAAAAAATAAATAAGTAAAATCTGAAAAAAAAAAGGGGGCATGAGATACTACCGTACACCTGTTAAAATGGTTATTATCAAAACAAAAGAAAACCCCAAAAGACAACATGTTTTGGCAAGGATGTAGAGAAACTGAATATTGTTAGTGGGAATGTAAAATGGTGTAAGCAGTGTGGAAAACAGTATGGAAGTTCCTAAAAATTAAAAAAAAGAACTACCATATGATCCAGCAATCAAACTTCCATGTATTTATCCAAAAGAACTGAAATTAGGATCTTGAAGAGCCAACACTCCCATGTTGATTGCAGCATTTTCTATAAGAGCCAAGATGCGGAAACAACTTCAAGTCCATCAACGGATAAATGAATAAAAAAAAATGTGGCATACACATACAATGGAGTATTATTCAGCCTTGAAAAAGGAAATCTTGCAATATGCAACATGGGTGACCTTTGGGGGACATGATGCTAAGTTAAATAAGTCAGTCACAGAAGGACAAATACTGCATGACTCCATGCAGTATTATATGAGTTATCTAAAATAGTCAAACTCATAGAAACAGAGAGAAGAATGGTGGTTGCCAGGAACTGGGGTGCAGTGGAAAGGGGGAGTTGCTAATCAATGGGTATAAAGTTTCGGCTGTGCAAGATAATTAAGTTCCAGAGATGTGCTATACTGCATGGTGCCTATAGTTAACAATACTGTACTGCACACTTAAAAATCTGTTAAGAGGACAGATCTCATGTTGTGTTCTTACCACAATAAAATAAAATTTAAGAAAATTTTAAAGTAAACTACTGATTACCTGGCCTGATAGAAATACTGATGCAGATAATCATGTTGACAGAAAAATACAATATAAGATTAAAGAAGTACTTCAGCACTCTAGACATCAGTAGAAGTTCCTATGGCCAAAATCGGCACACCTGACAATTAT